GAGAATTTTCCTTGTATTCTCCTTGTCTTGTTCAATTCCACGAACATCTCCAATGCCAGGAGTATCGATGATATAAACGTCATATTTCGGGTGTGGGAAGAGATAAGTTCGAGCGTCTTGTGTCGCACTTTGTCCTTGTCCAAACACTTCATTCGTCGAGTTTCCGATGACGATTTGTCGTTGTTGATAGTTCTCGTCACACATCGTGAACATTGATGGAATGACACAGATCGGTTCTGGTGCTTCCAATGCATCGGCAATGTGATCAAAGCTCATATAGTTTGCAATGCCATTGATCCACGTCGATTTTCCGACTCCAGTTTCACCGAGTACAAGAATGTTGATCTCTTTTCGAGGCCCAGAGTATTGGTTGTTCTTTGATTGATGAGAAGTGGGCAAGTCCGGCAAAACTGGTGGATTCTTCGAAGAGCTTGGCTTGCCTGGAAATCATTTTAATTAATAATCAGCTAGGTTTTATTTACCATTTTGTGGTTTTGGCTTGGATTTCTGTGGAGCGGGAGTTTGTGATGCTGAGTAAGCGGGTGGAGGCTGGGGTAGCTGTTGGATGCCTTAAAGTTAAGTTCTTAAATGTTTAGATTCATCAAAATTGAAGCATTTTCTAAAAGGTACGCTTAGGAAACAAATTAAGTATATATGTATTTAAATTAAATCAGCAAGACTGTATCTAAATGCCTGGTGACTAAATTTGGGGTACAGCTTATCCAAATGCGCGTTTTAGAAGTTTAAGCGTCCCTTCAAATTCACTACATCAAAACTCCCAAAGTTGCAAAGTTCTTACCTTGCATTGGTTGCATTCCATAGCCCGGGAAAGCTGGATTGGGATTGAATGCCCCATTTTGTTGCATCGATTGTTGCGCTTGCAGCTGCATTTGTTGCATGAAGAGCATCTAGAAGAAAATGTTTTCAACCAATCAAACTTGTAACTACCATTTGTTGCATAAAATTTGGATCCTGCATGAATCCCATCATATTTCCGTTGGGCATCTGTTGAACTTGAGGTGGCATTTGAGGAGTTACTGCTGGAGGAAAGCCCGGTTGCGGGGAGACCATTGGGAATTGCTTGAAATTCTAGATTTAAATAAAAACTTAAATTTACGCAGAATATAAATAAAAATGATCTTGCTTAAAACCTAAAAACACTTCTCTTCATACCGATGGCATCCGATTGTCAGCAAAATTCGGAGGCCCGGCATTGTTTGAATGTGGAGCTGGTTGGAATTGCTGAAATTATCACAATTTATAATTTCTTTGAAGAATAAAGTTGTGTAAGTACCGGCAAATTTGAAGTAGGTGCAATTCGAATCCCGGCAGGAAACAATTGGCAGGACATCGTTTGACGGCCAGAATCGTTTGCTAAAAACTCGTAATGGATCAATTTGCAAAGAAATTTTTTCAATGCATAGCAGAGTACAATATTTATTGTTTCTATTCTTTGCATACCTTGCGGTGCAGCGTCAGATTCTTGAGAAATCGCCGATGAAGAGTTGAACATTTGTTGATGCATCGGTGGCGAGAGAGCGGTCAACACGGGCACTGGACGAGGATTTGCGATCTGAAAATTGATATGCAGATGACGATTATGAATAAATCAACCTGTTCTCTCTAAGGCAACCTCAAAGAAATTAAAAATCCACTGTAAAGCATTGCAAAAAGATACATTTACATACAATTTCAGAGAACTAGGAATTATTTCTGATTAAGATCAAGTAAGTTTTCCAAGATTGAAGAGTCACTAATTGAAATAGCGTTACCCTAGTATTAAAAAGTACAGTAATCCTCGATTTCTCTAATGTTTTAATGCTTAGGTAATTAAATTTCCACTCACTTGCTCGAAATCCTCGTTCTCGGCATCCGACGAATCCGATGAGAGGAAAGCGCTGTTTTGCAAGTGAGGCATCGATCTGTAGAGAAGTTTTTTTTGCTTAAAACGATAATTTCACAAGTAAACAGTATTTCAAATTCAATCAAGATAATCTTTTGGATGAGATAACCAAATGGAAAATGAAACAAAGCAGAGTAGATAGTTTATTGACAAAAAAGAAATTTCGATATTTTCTTGGATTATTTCGTGGAGCCACCAAAAAACGAGAACACTTTCTTCACACCACCGCATACTTTTCTAAAATTATAATTTATTGCCATTTTCTGAAGTGCTGTAAAAGTTTCAAGAATACATGCTAAAAATTCAGTCATGTGCAAAAGTCTTTTAACACTCAATTTTCTAAAAAGTTTCATCAATTTTCTTTGATAAAGTTCATGGCTAGTTTTAAGCTATTAATAATTTTAATTACATAAATATAGGTACAATTTATTTACACAAACGTTATCGCTATACAACACTTATTCATCGAGAAAAAAATATAGTTGTCAAAACACCCCTGAAAATCGTGGTACAAAAGTCTTTTCACAAAAAACGAAATTAAGCTTTGATCAATATTTAGTCCCTCCTGCTTTTGCCAAAAGTACTTCTTTAATACGATTAGGCATCATCATCAATTAATTCATCAAGAACTCCGGGTCCAATCGTTCTCCAAATTTTTCTGATGTAAAACCATAGCTCGACTTTGGAATTGAATTGTTTTCCTCGCAATTTCAATTTCAAATAGGCCCATAAATTCTCGATAACATTTAAATCCGGTGAGAATCGCGGAGCTTTGATCAAAGACACGTGATTGATCCGGTAAATGTGCTTTTCCTCCATTCGAGAGAGTCACAACGCGGCCCATCAAAAGTTTGCGTTTGTGTACTGGCAAATTATCTTGATAAAGAAACCATCCTGGATTCATCGAAGCAGTCGCAAATGGAAGTAGACATCTGTCCAATATTTCAATATATTGGCGGGAATCCATTGTTGATTCACGAGGACAAGTGGACCCGTTGAACTTTTACATATCGCACCTAAAGAAATCATGTTGAGCTGCATAAAAAGAAAATTATCCTCACCGAAACACATCCTTGATCCCCCGCCTGTTTTCACCTTAGGCTGCAAGTACTTGAGTTGATATCGCTTTCCAATTGGACGTCGGATCAGATGATTTCGATTTGAAGGAAAAATATCAACTTTTGTTTCATCAACAAAAATCACTCGGGCCCAATGATCGATTGTCCAGTTTGAATAGGTTCGAGCAAATTGAAGGCGCTGCCTCCTGTGTTTGGCTGTCATCATAGGCTTGAAAGCAGGTCTTCTAGTATACAATGCTGCTTGAAGCAAGCGTCGATGCAAGGTCCAGCGGGAAATATTCTTGCTTGAAGTTTGCTTGAAAAGAATGGCTCCATCGTTCTACGTTAAATTCGGATCCTTCTTGAAGGCTCCCGTAAGGAATCGATTTTCATTCTTTGTTGTAATCCACGGCCGCCCCTTTTTCCTACATCTTTTTACTTCCAGACGCATTCATTTTCGCCATAACAAGAGGAACTGTTGTGGGCGTACATCCTAAGAGGGGAGCAACGTCTTGTCGTGGCATTCCTTCCTTCCTTGCCTCGACGATCCTTTCTTTATCCGGAGTTGAAAAGTACGCTCCTGGCATCTAAAAAAAATAAGATAGTACCAGTAAATACGAAGGGAACGAAAATAATAAAAATTTTTGCAAATGTGAAAAGACTTTTGCACCACGATTTTCAGGGGTGTTTTTACAATTATATTTTTTCTCTTTTTTCGCGCAAAAAGTTCTCAAACAAGGCTATTTATTTTAGAGCGAGTCAGGTTTGCAACATGAGGGCGCGCGTTGTCGTGGATGAGAACGATCTTTGACTTGGAGGGCCCATTCTTCTTCAGGGATTCATTCACCTTTCCCAACTGTTCACTGTATTTGATTGCATTAAGGGTCGTCTTGCTATCCAGCAACTCCCAGTACACCACTCCCTCCATATCCCAGAAAACGCAGAGCATAAACTTCTTCTGGTGCAAATCGGGCTTGGGGTCACTTTCGGGTTTCTCGCCTGGCCCCACCCATTGCCACTTCCTCTGAAAGTTCACAGATAAAACCCATTTCTCATCTCCTATCACAATTCAAGAAAGAAAAGATTTCCTTTTGTATTGTGAGAGATGGACGGCACTAATCGAGGCGCGCTGCCACTTCTGGGGGTTATTGAAGTCATGGGGCACCCAAGCCCCAAGTTTCGATTTAAATCCAAGGGTATGAAGGTGCCTTAGCACTGTAGCATGATCAACCCCTAACTCTTCTCCCAATTCACGCGATGATATCCGATGGTCGTTGGTAATGAGTTCGAGTAATTTGGAATCATCCAGTTGGGGTGCCGCACCACGACCCTCTGCATCTTTCAAAGATTTGACCCCAGATCGAAACTTGGCAAACCATACTCGACACGTTCTTTCGGAGGGTGAGTTCTCTCCATATATCTTTTCAATATAAGCAGCTGCCAAGCTTGCACTGTGCTCTTGTAGGAACTCATGAAGCATGACATGACAAATATGTCCCGGTGGCAGATTGTCGAGTGCAATAGAAGAAGTGAAAAATACCGAAAAATAAAAAGCTGGAAGCATAATTTTTTCGCAATAATTAGAGGAAATGTTGAAGTAACCAAACCCCCTTTCAGCTAGTTCAATGCTGTTGTTTTTTATCTGCGAGTCCCGCGAAATAGCCGGCAGTTTTCAATTCACCAATCCAATATTTATTTAGTAGAGCTCTATTTAAGCTCTACTAAATAAATAAAACTTAAGCTCTACTATTTTAAGCTAGTTGATAGGTTTCAATGAGTGATGCGTTTTCTAAAAGATGGCTAATTCGGAAAACTACCTTTTGGACGACGCACTACTCTAGGGTTACTCTAGGGTTACTCTAGGGTTATCTGAATGCTAGATAGTTAGTTACTTCAAAAATCAGCTACAAGAGCTGGATTTGTGCAAATGGCTATACTTAAATTATTCCAATATAATGCAATGAGCAAAAGACTGGGACTTATTGTATCAATGTCTCTATTTTTCTATCTATTTGTCTAGCTATTTTTTGCAAAACTCACTGAAACATCGATTTCTGGCAGCGTGTCACAGTTGCCTCATAATCCTGATGATCGGTCTTCACATGAATATCGAAAATCTGTGCAATCATTGCGCCATTCAGCGGCAAAGAGAACAACTTTTGTCGAATTTCTTGCAGCTCATCAAGTGAGATCTTTGCCGGGTCTCGTTGATGAACAAATTGTTTGCAAATATCTCCATAAGTCACACTGAGTTCGAGCAATCGATTGAATTCATCCGCATCCACCCCAGCTACGCTTCTCATTTTCTTGTCTTCGGCAACAATCAGCTTCTGTAAGTGTTGTTCAAAGAGATTCGTTTTCTGAGTGATTCCATTTTCAGCAAGGAAAGCAGAAAAAGTTGCCATTGCAACTAGAATGTAGTTGGATTCTTTTGAAATCCACTGATGAGTCGCTCAAATTTTCGAATGGAGCTTTTCTTCATCTCGGCAGCATTCGCTTCTGAGGCGAGTTTTTGTGGGTTTTCCAGAGATTTTGTGGTGATTCGTTGTTCGTACGAGATTCGCTCGTGATCATTTATGTGACAGGAGCATTTATTGCAGAAATTGTAATTAAAGACCATACATCCGTCTCGCTTTCTATTATCGCCCAGTTTGCAATCTTTGTGGCATACCCTGTAGATCAACGTTTCTTTTCCATCAATCCTTTCATACTTTGCACATTTTTGACTCCGACAAACGGTTTGGGGCATCGATAGCGGTAAGATTTCCATTGAAGTCACTCGAATCGTTGCCAATCTCCGCAATTCTTCAACATTGTTCTCAGCTTGCATCAGCTCTTCCTTCTGCCAATCCAGTTCCTGCAAGTTTCTCTGAATCATTGTACAAGCTTTGAGAATTGGATCGATTAACTGATAGATCCAAGTCCGGGTCTGATTGATTGACAGCGTGTCTGAGGTGTTGTGCGGGCGAGCTCGTGCAGCGTGATCCAACAATCTCTGCACTTCGTTCGACGAATGTTTCCAGCTATCACCAAACGTTTTTATTTCCCTTGTATCGAATTGAATGTCACTGAAATGAGCACAAAGGAATCGGAAAGCTTCATTGTCCAAACAGAAGATGTTGCTATCATCAATTCTGACTGAAAGTCCTTCTTTCTCCTTCAGCTCATTGAAATAAGCTTTCAACGGTCCCATTGTATCACCCGGTCGATAAAAAGTTCCTCTAGCATTTGTGAAAACGAAGCAAGCGTTATTAAGCGCCGTTTTACTCAAATTCCCAAGCAATTTCCCGATAGAGTAGCGGAAAGATTCCGTGAGACGAGCGTCATTCGCTTTGAAAAGAAAGCAAATCGCATGGATCTCTTTGAAAGGTGCGATTGATCGAAGAATATTCTGAATGTTTTCCTCATCTTTCAAGTGTCCTCTGGTATCATTCATTCCCGGAGTGTCAATGATATAAATATTGTGTTCATCTTGCTCAAACATATACGTCTTAGCGCTTTGAGTGGCTGATTGACCATTGTCAGCAAAAACTTCATTGTCGTGTGCTCCAAGATGGACATCGTATCTCTGATAATTGTTGTCATACATTGTGAATTTAGTTGGAATCACGCAAATCGGCGCCTCGGCAGCAATCGCTTCATCTAGCGTTTTGTAAGTTAAATAGTTGACAAGAGCGTTTATCCATGTTGATTTCCCGACTCCTGTCTGGCCGAGCACCAATATATTGATCGACTTTTTCGTTGTTGAGCCGAATTCTCGCACTTTGACATTTTCCTTCTGTAGCCACTCGTTTTCCTCTTTTTTGACTTTGGCTACTTGTGTTTTGACGGTTTCGAGGGAAATTTCTGGGGATGGGGCAGTGAATCTCGGCTTATTTGAAGAAGTTTCAGGAATAACAAGTTCCGATTTCTTAGCTTCACTCGTACTTGAGCACATTTTTGATTCGTTTTGGCTCTTGTAATTTTCACGCTTTTCCGGTTTTCCCTGGACAACTTGACTCCAGCTTCTTGTATAAGCAGGTCGTTTCGTCTCTTCATTCAGAACTTGTAAAGTTGGCTTATTATCAGAAGTGCTTTGAAACTGAGAAGAAAGACAGTGACTCTTGACACCATCAAGATCTCCTTTCCTATCTGCAAACGGCCCATTTTTGTTATTGTCTTTAGATCCAAAACTTGTCGAGTAGCGAGCCAGTTGACTCGAGTGCTCAGAAGAATGTTGAGAACTTGCCGAAGTTTGAGGTACGGTAATGGGGCTCAAGCTGGTCGGGTTCTTTGAAGCAGCCTCATAACTTAAACTCCTTCTCGAAAACGAAAATCCATTCTCATTTTCCTTTTCTTTTTCCAAATCACCATGTATTATCTTGGAAGTAGTTCGGCTCAAACGATCTAAAACTTTCTGAGAATTCGATGTGTCTTCAATTACCGATGAACCTCGCTGAGCAGAGAAGCCCAAACCAATTGGAGTCATCGGTGAGTATTCTTTCAGCTCTGCAACTGATCCATTTCCATTTTCCCTCTCAGTTTCAATGGTTGGATAGTAAGATTTCTGATTTGAGTCAGAAATTTGTCGATATCTTGAATTTTCAGAACATTGAGAATCTTCGTAAGTTGGAGCTTCGAAAGCTGGCGGGGATTTAATTTGAGTCGATTTCAAGTCATAGCTCAACCTTGGAGGCCAATCAGTATTCGGAGCTTTTTCAAATTGCTTGACAAGTTGTTGTACATTTGTTTGGCACCCGTGGAATGAAGTGTTTGAGGAGGTAAAGGAAGATAAGGGCTTTACAGCTGAGACGACATCTTGTTCCTCGAATTCTCGCTCAAGAGGCAATTGAGAAGTTCCAAAAAGTTTTCTTGGATTGTTGTCTTTGTAAATATCAGCAGCAATTGGTCCGCTTGTGGTTTCTCGATTCAGGAAGCTTTGTGGATCATTTGATGAATTGCAATCACTTGATTGGCTGTTTTCAATTGGCGGAATCTCAACCGAAAGATCCAAAAGAATGAAGTCATCCACAGCTTTCTCCAATGGCCTCTTCGAGAAATCATCCTGAAAATTTCGTTTCGTATTTGAAAATGGTATTTAATCCTTTAATAGAGCGGTGTTAACATCTGAAAATTATCATAATTTTGTCAGTAAAAAAAAAAAAAAATGACACGTTTTAGTCAAAACATTTTCATTTTTAAGTTCTAGTGAAATAACTACACTCACTTGTTTGTCTTCTCTCCACAAATTCTTGCTAAAAGTTTTCAAGTAGAGTTCTTGTTGTTCGGGTGATAGATCTTGTAGACGGGCATTGATATTGTGGGCGTTCAGTTGGGCTTCACGAATCAAATTCACATCTTGACGTCCGTTGAGCGAATCGACAGCGTTTCGTTGATCAGTATCGGATTTTCTGGCGAGTGGCTAAAATTGCTTAATTATAATTTTCGAATAAGTCTCACTGGAGTCCTATCAACTAAAGCTTTCCTGAAAAATCCTTGAGCCTAAATTAAGATGAAGCAAATTGCTAACTAAAGCCAACGATTATGTCGATTAACAAAAACACTTAAAGTATCGAAGCGTTGATTGCAACCGTTTTTCCTTTGAACTTCATTGGAAGCATCCATTTCTTCCATTTGTTCCGGGAAATTCTGAAAAATCCTAAGTCTTTTTAATTTACCCTTAATCTTTTATAATAAGCTGCTGATATTCTGGTTAGGCTAAGAATTTTTGCACTAATCGCTTAAAATTTGCCTGTTGCTCAACCAAAGTCGGTGCTTCAAGCTCAATGTCATCAGTTTCCATCGGCACCGGTGAAGTGTGGGGAAATTGAGGAGTCGCAGCATCTAAAAAAACAACCTATTGTTATTGAAATCTAACTTGTTATCAGAATTCGTCAGTGTGCCAAATGGTAGACGTTTATGAACAATTTCCTTGGTTTAGTTACCCACCTTGTGCGTCATTAGAGGAAGGAAGTCTAGAGACCATTCCACAAAATAATGCTCTAAAGCTTAAATCAACTAAATTTCTAGACCAAACATGAGATTGAAAAGTTCTGAATAGAGATGGGACCAAACCGTTTCTAAAAGCAGTCAAAAGATTACCAAGAGAAATTTATTGATGAGAAATGAATGAATAAGAAACGTTTGTGAAAAAAGGAAATGATTGCTAGTTAAAGAGCATCAATAAACAAAAAACACAACTTAATGAAATGGTTCTATTTTCTATTGTTCTTGCTCTTCTTGTACTTGTTTTTGTTGTTGTTTTGCTGTTGCTTCTTCCCTCCACCGCTCGAAGGCGCAGGGCTGAAAAGCGGAGTGTAAAAGTTTACTGAAGGTTTACTTCACCGTAACAAACATTGAAGTATGTTCTTTCTGAGTAATGCGTTTCTTAACGGACACCTTTTCTAGAAACCTATTAGAATTAAACTGTCAGCTTGCATTTAATTAGCTCGATTTTGGTATCATTCGTTGAGGAATCACAAGGCTCAGTGGGTCTATCCCAAAACAGCGCCGCGTAAAACAGCGACGAGCAGAAAAGTTTATTTTCAGTTTCATTAGTTTTAATTAGTTTATACTAAAATTGATTGAAGCTATCATACAGTATCCAAAATTTTAAGCATCTCCACTTGTGAAATTTTGGCTCATTTATATAAGAATTCTTAATTATGCTGCAAGCTTTTAAATACAAATTTAGTTTCAAGAGCCACAGTAACCAAGCAACTTTTAAACCCACATCTCTTTCTCGACCGTCTTCTTGTACTTCCCAAAGCTTGCCGGTTGAACCTGCTTTGGTGGTGAGTATTTAACCGTCACATATCGTTGATGTTTTGCCAACCCGTCTTCCGTCGCAGCAAACAAGTTCTTCAGAATTTTCCCCGTGTGTTTCAGCCCGAACAATTCCGCTTTCATCACCTCAATCTCATCTGGAGTAATCTTATTCCCTCCATTTGCAATTGGATTCTTCTGCGCTTCGATCAGCATAGCTTTCTCTTGTCGATACTCAACCAAAATCTTTCTCAAATTATTCAATTTCGATCGATCACCACCAATACCCGTGCATTTCTCCTCTTCCGAAATTGTTTGCTCAACGTATTTCTCGAAGGCGTCATTGTAGGGAAGGATGGCATTGGCTTGCAAAAAGCTTCCAAATCGCAGAGAAGTTCTGATGATTTTCTGTTGTTCTTTCTTTAACTCATCAATTGTATTCTCACAATCCCGAATCATTTTCTCCTTCACTTTATTCGCGTCTTGTTTCTGTTGAATGAGAGTCTTCGTGTTGTTGTCTTCGACTTGGACACTAGTCTTGATTTGCTCAAAACGGATGTGCATATGTGTACTCCAAAGACATTCGCACACTTGACAATTTGGTCTTCCAGCCATTGCAGCACATTGTTGAAGGTGAGGCTCAGGGACACGTTCTACATCAACATTTTTGAGAAAGCAATGATCATGACAAATCTGTTTGTAGATCGTTTGGTATTGCGTAGTGTGTGGCAATTGGATAGTATCAATGCATTTTTGAGCAGCACAAACGGTTTTCGGGTAGACCAGCGGCTTGACTTCTATTCCAATTTGTGGAATCAGAAGCTTTTTCTTCAAATCACCCAAAGTCGCAGCTGTATTTTCGAGATCTCTCCTTCTCTCATCAAATACTTTGATTTTCGACTCGATCAACTCATTCACATCGGCTAATGGTTTCGCTAAATGAAAGATGATCGTTCTTGCCTTGTTGATCGAAACCGTATCAGCAACATGATGTGGCCGTTGACGAGCAGTGAACTCAATAAAACGATGGGTTTCAGCAGCTGATTGTCTCCAGCTTCCGGCAAAATTTTGAAAATCTTCTTCGGTGAATTTCGCTCCATTGAAATGAGCACAGACAAGTCGAAAAGCTTCATTATCAGTGCAACAGATTTTATCACTTGAGAGCGCAATTCGAAGTCCTCTTTCCTTGTGCAATTCAGTGAGAAAAGTATTTAATGGAGTCATTGTATCACCGGGTTTATAAAAAGTGCCACGAGCATTTGTGAAAAAGAAGATAATATTGTCAACAGCGTCTTTGTGGAGTTGGAGTAAGAGCTCACTGATGCAATATCTGAAGCTCAACGTCATTCTTGCTTCATTGGCCTTGAAGAGAAAGCAAATTGCGTGCAAATGCTTGTACTGTCCAATGGCGCCAAGAATTTTCCTTGTATTCTCTTTGTCTTGCTCAACTCCACGAGTATCTCCAATTCCAGGAGTATCAATGATATTCACAATGTACTTGGACGTCTCAAATTGGTACGTTTTCGGTTCTTGTGTCGACGATTGACCCTGATCGGAGAATGTCTCATTCTCGTCTTCCTCGCTGTGCGATGGCTCAAGTTTCACGTCGATCTTCGTCTCATTTGTCTCGTAGAAAGAGAACTTGCTGGCAATAAGGCAAATCGGTTCTCGAGCGTTGAGTGCATCCTCAAGTGTGTCAAAGCTCATGTAATTCGCGATTCCATTGATCCAAGTCGATTTTCCGACTCCTGTTTCACCAAGAACAAGAATGTTGAGCTCTTTCTTGGTGCCAGTGTGCTGTTCAGATTGAGCCTTGAAAAATTCATTTGTTGGCTCATCGTTTTGCTCTTCTTCAGTCAGAGATTCTTCTTCAGATTCCTCCGATTCTTCACTTTCTTCAGAAAACTCATTTGCTGATGTTGGCACATTTGACGGCACGCAAGGATTGTTTTGCTTTGCTTGTTGAGAGTTGAGAAACATTCCGTACATTTGCATCATCATCATTGGGTTGAAAGGCATTGGTGGAACTGGTTGAGGATTTCCTGAAAATTTATCAGTTAACTTCACACTTTTCCAATTTTTAGCCTTAACTTCTTGCGTTTCCAAGTCTCACAATCGGCCTTTTGAGCTGCTTTCAAACTTTTGTCAATCCCTTAATATTTTCAAATCTCACCTGGCGGGGCAAAATTTGGTGCAAAACCAAAAGCATTGTTGAACATTTGCTGTGGAAATGGTGCTTGCTGATTTGCAAGGTGTTGTCCGTTCATTCCATTTTGTTGACCATTGCCTGAATTGTTCAAAAGTACTACAGGTTTTATATCAAGACTCTACTCAAGCTGAAATCCAAGTTCCATAGGGGTTATTACTGATTTTAAGCCTTACCTGACCTAGCGCCATTGTGTCCAAATCTGAAAGAGTTGTGGAAGATTCGTTGTGGATATTTTGGGTTCACATCATTGGATTGCACGTTCGAAGGTTTTCCGTGTTGTTTATGACCTAAATTTTTTGGTCATGTAGAAGGTATTGAGAAACCTATCGAAAACCCACGGTTTTTAGAGTTTGAGATTTCAACTCTCTGTAAAGGATTCCCATTCGATTGTTTTGGAGCCAGCGGAATGCTGGATGGAGGCTGGGAATGGAGAGGGATATCTAAAAGATTTCCACTTTAGTACAGCTTTATGTTTTTTAGAAAGGTTTCGTGTTTTCATTCATGAGGCTATTCGAAAAACTGATCATTGGAAGACTGTAGCATTTTTCCGCTCCCAGCATTGCTACTTGTTTCGGAACGTTGCGGCAAAATGGGGCGCGGAGGTTCCGATCGAGCGACATACTTGCCTGAAAAATGTCATGATAACTTTAACCATTGCTTTAACTTTAACAACAACAACAATAACAGTATCTAAGGTCTAAGATGTATGTACTTTTTTTCGCACACACTATGTGCATAAGATGTACTTTGTGTTCACTAGATGGCTAAACGCATTCCTTCTGGTGCACCGATTTCTCCATTATTTTCTTCCTACAGTGGCGTTGATGTAAGAATTGAGTGTGGAGGGGTGCGTGTAAGTGCCCGAGAACAAAGTACAATAACTTCAGTGCACCTGAAAGGGTATGTCTTGTCCCGATAATCGTAGAGAACTCACAAAACAACGCTAACTTATGGCTTTATATATGGAAAGGGATGTGTCAGATGGAAGGAGATTATGCGCGCGCACAAAGAACCCTAGTCAATCACAAAGAGCACATCATTTCTTGAAAAAACAAAAGCAAAATCAAATGTGGGGATCGAACTTTTGAGGTCTCGCTCTGGAAAACGAGCACTGTACCACTCCGCCACGGCTACACCGAGCCGCGTCCGCAAAGAAGCCGCTGAGACCCAAATGACCACACTTTCAGAGTCCTAACAAACGCTTATAACTCCTTATAACTTGCTTATAACTTGTCATTTAGCAAAAACGGAATACATATTCGAAATTAGCATAAAATTCTGCGTCGAATGGTATAGGTCGTATAGCATTTGGGTTCCCTCATCAGTATGAAAACTTCCCTTCCTAAAACTAACCATTCGAAGGATTTGTCGTACTCTCGTACAAGTTCCCAGCATGGCTGTTTTTTGAAAGTCGAGGCGAATCAGATCGCGGTGGACGTTGAGGTCGTGGTTCTTTCTTGCCTGGGATTAGAGCTTTTGATTTTTTGGATAAACAGGTTGATCAAAACAGAATGCAAACGTTTAAACGTTAGTGGGTCATTTCCATTTCATAGAATAAATTAAAACGACAGCATGCTTACCTCTTTGCTCGAACTTTTGATCGGGAACCTTCCGAGAAGTGCCACCGTGATACCCATCCGCTCTCGTCGGCTAAAAGTTTCAAATGGCTCTGTAAAACCTTTCACAAGTCATGCAAGCCTTGACATTATGACCGACCTTGCAAAAGGAATCAAAACTAAGTTATGGGTATTCTTGAGCTCACCTGTGTTTTGTTGTTTTGACGTTTCGTTTGTTGTTTCGGAAGTGGTTCGAACCGTTGTGCCTGAATCGATTTGTAAGATTTGTCTCAAAGTTTTAACTAGAGTGTGTTCATCTCAAGTCCGCTTTTGCAAAGTATCTTTTCTCTATTTTATCCAATCGAAATCCTCCCGAATAATCTCAAAAGTAGTACCTAACTTGGATAAAACTAGAGCAAAGCAAGTAATTCTACAGCAATTGTATTTATCGAAACTCTTATTGCTTTTTCAACCTAATTATAAATTATTCAACCTAATTATGTTTTTCAACCTAATTATAAGCTCAACCCACCGGTGATTTGTAAGCATAAAGCGCTAGATGTTTCAGTTGACGAGTCTTTGAGAGTTGCGGCGCACATTCGACAACGATTCGTTGCACATTTTCATCGGTAAATGTCACAATTACACGACGAGGTCGTCCATTTTGTTCAAATCGTCCTTCTCGTTTGATCTCACGAATATTTTCGGCCAGACCTTCCGCGTTGATCGCACATAAAACTTGATGAAAAGCATTCCGATCGGCTTGCTCTTTCATCTGATCATCGCCAAATGGTTCTAGGAGGTTGAAAAGCACGATTTTCTTCTTCACATCTGCATCGGGATCATTGGAATGAATTGGCTGTTGAGAAGGGTTGAATTGGCGTGTTTGATCGAAAGAAGCCGACTCCGTTGCACTGAGGTCATCAGCCTGAAAGGCTCTTGTAGATTTAGATAGCAAACTCCTTGTGAACTTTTATATATTACTATCAGTTTCACTTCTAGTTTAAAGTCTTTACAATCACTGTTGAAAGACACTGCACTGATTGTAGAATCAGATCGATCTACAGTGTAGTATAGAAAGGAAAGCAAACCTATACAGGGTGACCAGAAATAACGTCGCGGCCTAATTTAGCCTATTTTCTAAAAATCCAAAAAGGTTTTGTAACGGAAACAATTTTTATAAACAACATGATATAAAGAGAGCATAAAATCTACTTTTCTTCAAAGTGGCCACCTTTGGCTCCGATGCAGAGCCTCAAACGCTTGATGAAGTTTTCGGCGATGGGCCGCAGCTCGGCCGGAGTGATTCGATCCCATTCCCTGGTCAGCGATGGCTTAGGGCCTCCAAACTTTTGTGGGGTTTTGCACCAGCCCTTGCCTCCAAAAATTGACCAAACACTGTAGTCCAACGGATTGAGATCGCACGAATACGGAGGCCATTCCTGGGCCGAGATGAAATCCGGAAAGTTTGTCCTACACCAGTCCTGTGTGGATTTGGCTCGATGAGAAGGAGCGGAGTCTTGTTGGAAGGTCCAAAATCCGTTACCAAAATGCTGTTGAGGTCATGGAAGCAAAACATTATCAAAAATCTTTTTTTGGTACACATCCTTATTGATTTTTACCCCAGAATCGATGAAAATGAGAGGAGTTTTGCCGGTTGCGCAGATTCCGGCCCATACCATGACCGATTTGGGATTTTGTCGGTGTTGAACAATCGCAGAGCTGCCTGGAGAGGACATTGACCAAATCCGTTCATTTTGGTGGTTGTAGCTTTGCTCCACCGAGAAGAGCTTCTCGTCAGAAAACAGGATTTGCTCCCGAGTTGCGGCCCGCTTGAGAAGCTCTCGGCATCTTTCGAGTCGAACTCGTTTGTTGTTGTCGTCGAGTTCTTGCCCTTGCTTGAGCTTGTAAGGGTGAAGATTGAGCTCATTATTGGCCATAAGTCGAACGATTCGCGAGCGATCCCCCTCTGTCGAGCGATCTTTCTCATTGAGACCTGTGGATTCCGGGCCACGCACTTCTGAATCACGTTGCGATTTCTGGAGTTGTCGACTATCTTTTTCTGCTTCTTCCCGGACGATCTCCATCGTTGCCAAGCTCCTTGTATCGCTTAATCGCCTTTGAGACGAGCTGATGAGAAACACGTAGCAATCGCGCGATCGCACTCACGCATTGACCTTGGCGATGAAGCTCCAGAATGGCAGATTCCTTGCTTGTCATCCTATAAAAAAATGAATAGACTTGAAACGTCAAACAAACAAAGTCAAACAAGAAAGAAACTAATAAAAACAATCACAGAGAATAGGTTAAAAATAAATTTGTCTACCAAAATTGAAATTTGAGGATTTTAGGCTGCCGAAAATCCCACAACGTTATTTCGGGTCTATCCCAAAACAGCGCCGACCAAAAAAGCGTCGCCAAAACAGCGCCGTACACAAAATAGGGCGGCCCAAAACAGCGCCAATGCAAAAACGCCCAAAACAGCCAAAAGAGCAAAAAAACTTATTTTCTTCTTTCTTCTCTTCTTAGCGTTTATTAAAGTATCATCGTCGTCTTATCATCACGGACCGCCGTGAAATTTTGAGGTATATTTTATCAGCATTATGGATGTGTGACTTAATATTTGGTTCGCCTAGCCATTTAGCATTTTCATTTTGCAGGTAATCAGTCAGCCACAATCAGAAATCGAGCGAGGCGCTGCTGCGTGTTTCAAAAGGACAAACGTGGCGGTTAAGCTATATTTTATCAGCTTTGTGCTAATATGGTTGTTGGTTTATGATTTATGGTTTGTTAACATAGTTTTACGGTTTGTTAGTTATTAATTTATTTTTCTACGCAGAATGACAAGCCAAAAAGGACGGTCACTGATTTACGACTAGGATGGATTCGAATATCGAAAGGACAAAGCACTTAAATGCGGCGTACTTTTGAGTTACAGGTAAGGGAAGTACAATTTATCTTGTAATACCCAGTTCTGTTTCTTTTTAGGTGTTCAAAGGCGAAATGTTATGGCCGAGCCCATCAAAACAAAGCAACCGGCATTCTTACGGTTACGAAAAATCACGACCACTTGCCACCAGAAAGCAAAAAGCAAGTAGATGATCAAGACATTGTTGCTTGTGTGATAAATGCGTTTTTAGATTCGAATTGTGTTCGAAGATGTTAAACACCAAGCAAAGATGGGTGTCCCCGTCAAAGAAATTGTACGGCAGACGATAACAAACAGTCCACCCGACGTAACACGCCTACTCAATGTTTGCAAAAAAATGGCGAGGCGACAGCGAGTAATTCCTGGCGCAAAAATGTGGCCAAGTCCGGTCGATGATGGAAAATTTCGTACGCTTTTTAAATGATTTATATAGAAAATAAAATAAGGGTACAAGGTTTCTACGTTTCAACAATTATTGCAGGTTAGCTATATATTTGTAAAATTTTTTTATTGTACTTTAGAATGCCATTTGGTCCTGCGACAGGACATTTGCTTCCGCGCCTGTAGGATTTAAACAAGTCTTCATTATTGGCATCGAGGTTGGTTTATTTTAATAAAAGCCGAAATTTAAGAAATTTTAGCAAGAACATATGTTTGTTCCGTGCGTGTAGCATTTTTGAATCGAAAGGATGCTAACACCTACAAGGAAGTCTTTGGCTATCTTCAAGCAGCTGGCATACCACCTTCGCACAAATTAAAAACGGGTTGAATTTAAATATATCTTATTTTTATAATTTTTTCAGATATGGAGCTGGCGTTGTACTGTTGTTTCAATCTTGCCTATCCCCACTCTGCAACGAAAGTGCACTATTGTACTTTTCATTTTTTCAAGAGCGTTTATTAAAGCTATTTTTGATGTTTTTTATGCATCGTTTAATTGTTGGTCATGTTATTTTTAAATAAATTATCAAAATTAAAAGCTGCTAATAAAAAAAATTAATTGTACATTGTAAAAAAAACTCTGTTTTGAATCGGCGCTGTTTTGGGCGTTTTTTCATTGGCGCTGTTTTGGGTACGGCGCTGTTTTGGGATAGACCCGTTATTTCTGGTCACCCTGTACTACTCAAACAACCAGTTTCATTCAAAGCTTAATTTTGACTCAGTCAATGGCACATAAATTGAGGTTTAAATGCAACAAAAACAAAAAACTACCGTAATCTAACGGTAAGTTTCCTTTCAAAGTTAAATTTCTGTATCATTAACTGAGCCAAAATCAGGCTTTGAATACTTATCGTTAGACTACGGTAGGTTTCAATGGTGTCGTTTAGAAAACGAACTAGTATCTATTGTTTAACTTTCCGCTTTTCAACTTGCCTGTCCATCAATTGTTTCGGAGTCACTTTCCTTGTCCAAGGCATTCAAAAATGCAGTCGCTGAGGCGAACATCGGATCGCTTGCCATTCTTAAAGTTAAATTAAAATAACTAATAAACTTTCAGAAAAAGAAACATATTCAACTGTTTCAAACAGCTATTAAATGGAAAAAACAACAAACATAATAAATTTATTCAAACAATCACACGTTTCACTTTCTATACTGAACAATGAGATTTGTTTTTGTGGCCACTTCAACAACGTCGAGATCCGGGAAATCAAATATTTTCTTATAAATGGACGATTTTCGCAAGCCAGTGCCAACAATTAGATCATCTTTTAGTTCTAAAATTCTCAGGGAGTAGTTCGCTAAAGTGATCTCCTCTTGTTCACTCGGCTTCTCACTTGCCAGGAATTTCTGCTGTTGGTGAATTGCAAGCAACTTCTTCAGCTTATCAATCTCATATCGATCACTTCCCGTTTTCAGTGTTTGCTCCAATTGTTCAATCGAGAATTCGGCATATTCCTCGAAAGCAGAATTCACTGAAACGATTAGATTCTCCTGAAGAAACGCAAAAAACGGCTTGGCCAGTTCTTGAGCTTTTTGATACCTTTCCCTGAGAACTTGAAGTTGAAGTTGGCTTAGTTGTACAAGGTATTTGTTGTACAAGGATTTGTTTAAAATTTGTTGAGTAAGTGGATAATTTTCTTCCTTATTGCCAGCTTTCACCTTACCAACCCTCTTTCTCTGTGAGTACAAAATGTGCATATGAGATTGCCACGAGCATCCACAAACACTGCAATTCCCTACTTGGGCAAAAATTGGGCATTGACGCAAATTCGTGGCTCCAATTTGATTCAAAGGCACATTTTGCACTGAACAGCTTTGAAAGCAAACCCGTTTGTGAAAAGTTTTCAAAGCATTCGTCGTCGGATCTCGAATCGTTTCCACGCAATTCGGTCCACAACACACTGTATTTGGTTGGGAAATTGGTGTCTCTTTCAAGTATGTCCCTTGAAAAACTTCTTTCTTCGTATCAGCCAATTTCTGCTCCAGAATCTTATGCAGATTCATTTGTTGATCCAAAGCTTTTTGCTCTTGTCTGATCCTTTCATCAAAATCAGCCAAAATTGTGCACAGCTCATGGGTCACTGCACGAACAATGCTCACCACTTTCGTCTCATTCGCCAAGTGCGGATCTAAATCGGTGACAGAATCAAATAATTTATAGGTTTCCCTTACAGTATGATTCCAGGATTTCAAAAAGTTGTTGACGCAGGCTTTCTCAAATTGAACTCCTTTGTGATGAGCGTAGAGCATTCTCACCGGTTCATTATCCAGACAAAAAGTGTTGGCACTGGTAAGTGGGATCTCGTTTTGGTTCTCATTCTTCACGTCTTCAAAAAGCTTTCTCAGGACTGTCATCGTGTCTCCTGGTTTGTAGAGAGTGTTGCAAGAGTTCGTGAAAACAACGGAAACGTTTGGAATTGCGTTTCGGTGCAGATTTGCTAGCAGTTCAACGATGCAGTATCGAAGTGACAGCGTGAGTCGACTCACATTCGGTTTCAGTAGAAGACAAATCCCATGAATTTTATCCCATTTCGACACACATTTCATGATCATTCTCATATTTTCCATGTCACATTCCAAGCCTCTCGTGTCACCGATCCCCGGAGTATCGATGAGATTGAAAGCCACCGTGTCGGTGATAAATCGATAGACTTTTGGTGCCTGTGTACAGGATTGTCCCGTACTCGCGTTGGCCTCGTTTTTCTCACTTTCCAATGTTTGCGCTTTCATCGAGATGGTTGATTTCTCGAACTTCTCCCCAGTGTACACGTTGAACTCCATTGGGATCACGCAAATCGGTTTCTTTCCGTTTAAAGCATCATCAAATGAGTCGAATTTTATATAATTCGCTATACCATTCATCCAAGTTGATTTTCCGACTCCCGTCTCACCGATGATCACAATGTTTCGCTCTTTTTGAACTGTTGGCGGCTCGGCGGTGTCGAAGTTGCGGAAAGGATTCAATGGGACTTCCGGTTTGGTCGACTTCGTCACCGTCTCAACGGTCTGAAATATCTGAGTTAGTTTTTTTTGATAGAGTAATGTTATAGTTTTACAGATGAACCTAGCTAGCCTCATGAAAGTGGATCTCAACATTTACGTTCTAATACAGCATTTACGGTATCCATTCTTTACCTCATCTTTCAGCTTCGATTTCTTTCTTTTGGTCGACGGACTTGATGGAGCTGGATATTGAGACACGGAGAGCTGTTGAGCGAAAGCGTTGACCAGGAATGGCATTGTCTAAACAAATTAAAAGTTTTGATAATACTGAAAGTAGTCAGAAGTCAAATGATTACCAGTCCAGTACTGATTACCTGTTTTCCTTGATCATTCTCAACTCGGGTCTCTTTTGCTTTTGTTGGTAAGGTTTTTTGATTGAAATTGATTTCCAGTCTTCAGACTTCTTCAGTTTCCCCGAATTTCTCAAGATCTTCATTTGATAATCTTTAGTGGCTAGTTGAACAATAAGTTTTCGAGGTTTCTGTTGGGAGAAGTCAAATTTCCCGTATCGATGGACTGTTTCAATGTTGATTTGATCGAAGATGGATCGTAGAATTTCGGTGGCCGATTCCAAGTCTTTGGCTTTTCGTGCAGCAAAACCTCCAGATGGTTCTGGCAAGTTGAAAAGCACGATTTGATTCTTTTCCTCCTTTGAGTTCCCGTTGGTGTCAGAAGTGGTTGGCAAACCAAGTTGAGCGTTGTTGTTCTGAAAAAAGAAGATCTGTTTTTAGATTTAAAATACTTTACAATATATCAATAACATGTCTAATAGACGTTTTGCAATTGAATTTAAATGTAAACAGTTCTCAAATCTTGAATATTCTGATCGGAAAGCTCAACCGTG